TTCCCAAATGAGTTTTGAAACGGAATTGCATAGCTGATATGTTGGTATTCATAAGAACCTTAGTGATTGTAGTATTTATACTAGCTGATGACTCCTTTGTACTTGATTGGGTGTTGGTTATGAACTACAAATGTATTACGTTCATTTTTGCTCATCTGATTCCACCTTAATCAAATAGCACTGTAGGGGATGATACTATGTCAAGCCCAGATAGGTTATTATAGCCTCTGTACGGGTGAATTTATCCGCAACTCAACCATGTAAACTTAATGTATCGCCCAGTGTAATAATGGTCATCTGTGCGTTCAAGTAACCACAGATTTTGTCATTTCATATGTATTTTTAATTGAATAACTAGATTGTGTTTTTAATTTTGCTCTGCTTTTAATTTTTATTCGCCACGTCTGACTGCGTTACACTGTACGTTCATTGCACGCTGGAATGATATCTCAAATCATAGTTAGTTTATTCACATAGTTGATTGTCTCCAGATAAACCGCAAGTGCATGATGTTACTGAAGAAATGTTTGTTGTACTGTAGACTATGTTTTTATGAACAACTGACTGTTATCTCCAGTCTGAAAGCAATATATATGTATCCTTCGTCTTCTGTTAGGTAAGTTCAAATAGCCTATATTTCGTGTTTTGGTTTTATCGGCTGAATTATGTTCATTTTACTCCGTTTAGCAACATGTCTGTGTAAATGGAACAATAATTATGACACTTGCTTAGTTTAGTATTCTTGGTTGCCGTTGTACTTTAGTCGATAGAATTATGGTATACTTAAGTATGGTGCTTGAAGCCTGTGACGAAACAGATCAGTTTAGTAAGTAGAGCTGCCTGTTTTTAGTGAGTATACTGATTCAAATCAGTCTGAATAATAACAAGAAAAAACGTGCCGTTGATGCTGTTGCTGTAATATATAGCTTTAAGTACGTTTGGTGTTTATTTGTAGACATTACGTTTAACACTGTTCATGTTTCAAGACCACTGTCATTAAAAAATTTCCCCAGCAATAACATCGGTAGCAGGATAGCTAAGTGTATGAGCTTTTATTTGCCTGCAGAAGAGTAGTATACAGTCTTAGAAGATGAGTGTTCTGTGTCTCAACTAAATGCAGCGGCCGTGGACAAATGTTAAGAATGTTTTTGACAACTGGGACTTTTAGTTTATCAGACACTAACTCTGCTTGTATGTCTTCTTGTTAAACTAGACGCAGGTTCATGGGAATACTTAAATGAGAGCAAAATAATAAAAGCATTGCGATACGGTACTAAGTCCATGTTATGCTTTGCACAAGTAATAGTAGCTGACCTGGTCGAATATTCATGAACTGAAGGTAAATCACAACTGCATAAATTCTTTGCTAAAAAACATGTAATTTAGTCCTTTATCTATTCCACATTTCTGACTAAATTCATTACTATTTTCTCATTTAGAATGCAACAGGAGTGAGCCTTCACAGACCCTAAAAACTGCTTCGCTCTTAGAACTATGGCCCTATGAAACTGTTTACAGGAGACCCAACTAACAGCAGATTATAAAAAAGATGCTGGATGTCCATTTTGATCTCACAACCACTTCCAGTACTTTTTGAGTTACTTATTTTACCCTATCGTTTTGAAAAAACAACGTAGACTAAAGCCTAACATTACCAGTGCAACTTTTAGACGAGGACTTCATTTAAACCTTTGTTTGATATTCGATTCTTAATTAAAGTTCCTGAATAAATTTTTAAATCTAATGCTACTTCGTGTTATCTATTTAATCGTTGCAAGAAACTTGTGATATATGAGCCTCTCAGCATCTAGTTCATATGTAGTAAATTTAAGTGATTTAGTACATATCTTCGTCATTTTCTTGGGAAACCTACAGACTCGGGTCCTCTCATAACTTATTCTAACCATCACGAATTGTCACGGCAGCTGATGGATGGACACGCGTTACACATCCTAACCGTACCTGCGTCTTATCTTATAGCTCCTTATTCAAATGCCATATGACAAGCAAGCAATGCCCTTACCCGCACTAATGGAACACTAGTAACTCAAATGCACCCTATATGGTACCTTACATTGGTCTACGCACTCGCTTAGCTTTTTAGTGAGAATATTACTATAGTCCAGCTAAAAATCCCATGAACCACCCTATATCCATCAAAACAAATAAGTCTGTATTTGCTGCATATAGCAATTTTATTTCTCAGAAGATATAACAGTTAGAATTGGAGTAAAATGACAGTATTGTAGCGTGGTGTCGAGTCGAGGTTAACTATGAACACCGCTATCAAGAAACACGTGCCAAATAAATCAGAAGGCGAAGGTTGAACGTAACCAAGGAAACCCATAAAATCCCCGAGAAGTCAAATACCAGAAGGCAAGTAATGGACCAAGTCGAGATATATATTTGCTGGTGATCTCGTGGTATCGAAAGGATACCGGGATCGTGCCAGGATACAAGCTTGGTTACAGAACGTAACCGAATTCGCGAGAAGTTACAATCAAAGTGTGAGTATAAGAATGGAAGCACAAAATAGCTGTCATTAGCACAGTCAAACAAAAGCACATTAGAACAAACAATGGTACAGTTGGTTATAATAATAATTGTTTTTATTAAACCAGTCGTGTTCTCGTGATAAATGTGAGTCACTACAGTATGCAGCAGATGCACATAGTACATGTCTTCATCGATTAGCTGAAATAGAGAATACGGATATTAGCTTAACAGGCTTATTTAGAAAGACTAGTGTCTACTTTGAACTTACTGAGTGAGTAAAATATACTGGAACTACGAATAATGTAGGAATCTAGTGTCCCAGAGCGTACGAAGCACTCGAACTGGAAGACAGTTGTCCAAAAATAATTCGAATATGAAGGCGAAAATTTGCAGGTACTTTTCTTCGTAAGGGTGAACATATTAGGTACCGGTTGACATCATACCGTAAAAAAACAGATTTGCGAGTGGTGAAATATGATCCATAAAAAAGTGAGCCTAATAACAGTCAATTACCTTTTTACTCCCTGATCATGACCCTTCGGTTTCCTTTTATGGCCAAAACAGTAAACATACACTACACACTGGTAGCAGATTTCCGGCTTTTCAATGTTAAGCTTGCGTTAACGCACGATGTAATGAGTACAATCCCTCTATTACTGCTATATGACATATTTTTCATAACAAACCCTCTGCAATAGATTGGTAGCATCTGTGACTTCATCTACGGTTATCGGAAGTATGAGTCCTTTCGAAAGCAATACTGATATCCCCTACTGCTGGGCACTGTGCATTAGTTTGACTCGTTGGTGGGATAGTGTTGTCCATAATACTGAAGAAAATTGAAAACCGGAGATTGTTTCCTTTCATTTTGCAGATAACGTCACAAAGGACAGTTAGGAACGAACAAGCAGACAGTTAGAGTCACAGACGGCAGTAACAATTATTTTAGAGAAAAAAACGAGCTTCAGCTTTAGATACCTAGAAAACAAGTCAAAACAATACCGATAAGGCTAGCTAGCTTGGCTGGAGAAATGCATTGACTCCAGTAGCAGCAGCCAAAACCCAGAAACAAAGCAAAATTAGGAAAAATTTTGCCCCAACATTCAGAGTATTACACTAACTTATGAATTTTAGCACAGTGAAACGTTAAATTCTGTAGCTACACAAAACAAATATCTGAAAAAGCACAGAACGAAGAAAGTCGACCGCCATTGCTAACAAAGATGGCGGATATAATAATTCCCGCCTCATTCTGACTGGTTGACAAGCTGAAGGCCACATTTACAAAATTGAGTTGCGTTTAATAGCAGCCCTCCGGACAGATAATTCTCTTCATTCTTCTCGAGTCATATTTTTACACTGTCACTCATTCGCTTATCAGCCTTGACTGTTTTCATGTGAGTGTATGTGTGTGCACTTCTTATCCTACTTATCAGATGTCTGTAATTTATTTTTGTTCAATTAAAACTAAAGTAAATCGAGTTAGCTCACTCGCCCTCTCTTTTATGTGTCATTCATTTTCCCTGTTCTCTCGATTCGTTTCCTTCT